TCAATAGCAGAGTGAAAAAGACAAAGGATAAACTCAGTGAGTTGAAAAGAGAGATCAATAGAATTCACCCAATCTGAACCATAGAGAGAAAACAAATTATAAGAAGATTTAGAACTTCAGAAAGGAGAGAAGAACATCAAAATGGGTAAAAATAGGGATAAGAATAATGGACTATCTTATTTTTTTGTGTTTCTTAAATCACATTTTATGGTTAAAGCAAAAATTATAACACCATCTGATGTGGTGTTTGTATATGTAAAGGAAATATTTAAGACAATTGTATTTTAAAAATGGGCAGTGTAAACGGACATAAATGGAAGTAAGTTTCCTATGTGTCACTCAAAGTAGATTTTGGTAAGTTACCTATGTATATTGCAGTTTCTAGAGCAATCATTAAAAAATTTATTCAAAATGACTTTAAAAACATGATACATAAATCAGGATGGATTCCTGAAAATTTTCAAGTAACCCACAAGAATGCAATAGAAGACAGAGTAACGAGAAACAGAGGCAACGAACAGAAACCAAAAAATAGCAGACTTAAACCCTAACCTAGCAATGATTACCTTAAATGTAAATAATCTCAACACAGTAATTAAGGAAAAAGACAGTCTCTTCAATAGATGGTGTTAAGAAAACCAGACAGCTATAAAAAATGAAACTAGACCACTTTCTACACCATTACACAAAAATAAACTCAAAATGGATTAAAGACTTAAATGTAACACCCGAAACCATAAAATTCTTAGAAAAAAACACAGGCAGTATAGTATGCCCTTTGACACTGGTCTTAGCAATATTTCTTTGGGAATGTCTCGTCAGGCAAGGGAAATAAAAGCAAAACTAAACAAATGGCTTACATTTTAAAAAGCTTTTGCATAGTGAAGCAAACCATCAACAAAATGAATAGGCAACCTCTTGAATGGGGGAAGATATTTGCAAGTGCAATATCTAATAAGAAGTTAGTATCCAAAATATGTAAAGAACTCACACAACTCAATATTTTAAAAGCCCAGTCATATTAAAAAAAAAATGGGCAGAGGACCTGAATACACATTTTCCTGAAAAAGACAGCCAAAAGACCCACGAAAAGATGCTCAACATCAGTAATCGTCAGGGAAATGCAAATCAAAACCACAATGAGTTATCATCTCACACCTGTCAGAGTCACTGTCACCACGATAACAAGATCAAGTGTTTGAGAGGGTGTGCAGAAAAGGAGACCTTCATGCACTGTTGGAGGAAATGTAAAATTGGTACAGCCACTGTGAAAAACAATTAGGAGGCTTCCTCAGAAAATTAAAACTAGGACTACCATGTGTGTGTGCTAAGTTTCAGTCATGTCCGACTCTTTGCGACCCCATGGACTGGAGCCCACCAGGCTCCTCTGTCCATGGGGATTCTCCAGGCAAGAATACTGGAGTGGGTTGCCATGCCCTCCTCCAGGGGATCTTCCCAACCCAGAGCTTGAAACCAGGTCTCCCACATTGCAGGTGAATTCTTTACTGTCTGAGCTACCAGGGAAGCCCATAATGGAGTATCACTCAACCACAAAAAAAGAATGAAATCTTGCCATCTGTGACAATATGCATGGACCTATAATGTCTTATGCTAACTGAAATGTTAGAGAAAGCTAAATACTGTGTGATATATATATATATATAGTGTGAAATATATGTATATATATATAGTGTGAAATCTATATATATACATATATAGTGTGAAATCTATAAAATGAAACAAATGAACAAATGAAACAAAACAGAAACATACTCATAGATAGCAGAGAACAAATTAGTGGTCTCCTGAGGGGAGGGGAGTAGGATGTTGGGTGAAATAGGCTAAGGGGATTAAGAGGCACAAACTTCCAATCACAGGGATGTAATATACAGCACAATAATATTGCAATAACTTTATATGGTGAGAGATGATTACTAGGATTATTGTGGTAATCAGTTTTTAATGTATATAATGTTGACTCATTATGTGGTACACCTGAAACTAATATATCAACTATACTTTAGTAAAAAAAAACTAAAAAAAAAACAAACCTATTAAAAGACAGAGATTAGCAGAGTGGATTAAAAATATTCTCCAACTATGTATGATGTCTATAAGAGATGCACTCACTTCATATATAATGACATGTGTAAATTGAATGTAATATAATGGGACAAAGTATTCAAAACAAATATTAACTTTTAAAAAAAGCAAGAGCAACCATATTTATATCAGATGAGTAGACTTTACTTGGTAGACACAAAGAGGCACATTACATAATGCTAAAAGGATCAATCCACCAGGAAACAAAATGATTCTAAAATGTACATGTACCAAAACACAGAGTCTCTAAATACATGAAACAAAAATGATATAGAGAATGGAAATATGACAAACCCACAGTTATAATGTGGGACTTACTGCTGCTGCTGCTGCTAAGTCGCTTTAGTCGTGTCCGACTCAGTGCGACCCCACAGACGGCAGCCCACCAGGCTCCCCCGTCCCTGGGATTCTCCAGGCAAGAATGGCAACTGGAGTGAGTTGCCATTTCCTTCTCCTATGCTTGAATGTGAAAAGTGAAAGTGAAGTCGCTCAGTCGTGTCCGACTCTTAGCGACCCCGTGGACTGCAGCCTACCAGGCTCCTCCGTCCATGGGATTTTCCAGTGGGACTTACTAAATGCCTATCAACAGGAGATTGGGTAAATAAAAATTATACTACACTCATGCTTATGCAGTAATTTATGCTTATGCAGCAACAAGTGAAAGACTTGGAGCTATGTATTAACAACCAGTACTTTAAAAACATAATATTGAGCAAAACCCAATAAACTGCAGAATGAAATAATTTATTTGAAATTTGAATCATGTTTATGGGTAACCGTTTATGTAGTAGTAGCAATACAAAGTCCTGCATGAAAGAGCAAAACATTTAGGATAGTAGTACCCCTGGGGGGAAAGGGAGGTCCATGAGATCATGAAAGAATATGAAAGAGGCTTTGACTTCATCTTTCATATTTTATTTCTTAAAGCCAAGTCTGACTCTTCCTTTACCCCTTCCTTTCCTTCGCTTCCCATCTCTTCTATAAAAATTTAGTCCTAAAGTCAATAGATGGGACAGAGCAAGATAGCTGTCCAAGCAGAGGAGTGGTGCTGGGTGGGGCTGCTCAATGGTGGTAAGGGGGAAAACCACAGATGAAGGCAGCCTGGGGTGGAGTCAAAGCCTGAGAAGGATGTTTTTCTATGGGGGTCGATATGGAGAAGGAAACGGCAACCCACTCCAGTACTCTTGCCTAGAAAATCCCATGGATGGAGGAGCCTGGCGGGCTACAGTCCACAGGGTCGCAAAGAGTTGGACACGACTGAGCGACTTCACTCTTTCTTTCTTTGATTTGGTGTAAAGAATCAGAATCTAGGAGGAGAGAGGAAGGCATCACATTTATGGGCAGTTTACGAGCAGCTCAATATGGAGTGTCAGAGCCCAAGCAAGCAGGTCAACGAGGGTATTTTCACGGAAGGGTGGTCTAGCCTGGGGATTCAGAGCTTGAGTAGGATGGAGTATTAGCAATGTGTGGGACAGCATGGAGTATCAGAGTCTGTATTAGTTTTCTCGGGCTGCTGTAACAAAGTATCACAAAGTGGATGGTTTAAAACTACAGAAATTTGCTGTCTCAGAGTCTTGGGGGCTACTAGCCTAAAAGCTTGGTGTTCCTGGGGCCATGGTCCCACATGTGACCTTATTTTAACTAATTATATCTGGAATGACTCTATTTCCACATAAGGTCACATCCTGGGACACTGGGGGTGAAGACTTCAACATATCCTTTTCTGGGGACACAATCCAACCAATAACAATCTGCCCTTTGTCTCCCCCACCAAATTCATGTCTTCTCCACATGAAAAATACAATTATCACATTCTAATCGCCCCCAAAGTCTTAATGCATTTCAGGATCAACTCAAGTCCAAAATCATGTCTAAATATCATCTAAATTAGATATGGATCGATCCTGAGGTAAAGTTCCTCTCCAGCTGTGAATCTGTGAAACCTAGAAAACAGTTACCTGCTTTCAAGATACAACAGTGGGACAGGCATAGGACAAACATTTCCATTCCCAAACAGGGAAATTGGAAGCGAAAAAAGCTGTCGCTGCTTTAAAAGAGTTTGTAACACAACAGGGCAAATTCCATTAGGAATAACGGGTTTAGAATAATTCTCTGTGGCTCTAGCCACTGGCCCACCTCAGCTCTAGGTGGCAGCCCACCATCTGGAAAGAAGAGGTGGCCAGGCCCCCTGGCTCTCTGTGGTGTCCCCAAGCCTTGCGTGGAGGTTCCTCCCCTCAGACCTGGGCCACTATGCTGCCCTCTGCATCTGAGGACTTAGCCCCGCTCTCTGGAACCCGGAGGAGGCCCTGCCCTCGGGAAAGGAGGAAGTCTGAACTTCTCAGCCCTGTGGAGAGACTCCCGTGGGAGCCCTGTGGGTCCCTCCCTGGACCCAGGAGGGAGCCCTGCTCTCTAGAACCCAGAACATGGACACTCCCCAGTGGCCACCTGCCTCCATCACGGGCAGGAGCCCTGCCCTCTGCAAAACTGAGGGAGCATCTCTGCCTTCAGAAAAACAGGAGGCAGCCTGGCCCCCTGCACCCTAGGTGGTAACTTTGCCCTCTGATCTTTGGGCAGTGACCCCACTGTCTGATCTCTGGGCAGTGATAAATCCTCTGATCTTTAGACAGAGATTCCACAGTATCAGGCCTGGACAGTGACCCCACACTCTGATCACTAGGCAGTGACCTCACCCTCTGATCTCTGGGCAGTGACCTCTCCCACTGTTCTGTTTGGAGTGACCACACTCTCAGGCCTGGACTGTGGCCTCAACTTTTGTTTTGTTTTTTTTTACTGTTATAAAAATGTTTATTGTTTACCAAAACCAGTGGACCTCTTATCAAATGCTGCTTGGTAACAAAACCTTATCACAGTTTTAATAATAATAATAAAGAACCAAGCTAACTGTTTGTCTCATTGTCATTAGTTAGACTTTCTGCAAGGTCACTTAGCCCAGACTTGTTGAGCGCGTTGATCAGGTTCTCGGGCGTGGCGTGCGCCCCCTCCTGGTCTTGCCAGGCCATGAGCAGCTGCCTGGCTCTCATCTTCATGTCTTCGCTGTCACACTCGATCTGTCTCATTTCCGAGTCCTTCATTTCCAAGTAAGTGCGGGGAGCCGGCCTGCTCAAGGCCCAAAAAGGCCCTGGGAAAGCCTTGAAAGAGGCTGTTCCCTGTCCTGCCACCCCATGATAAAGTAGTAAAACATTTGCTGGGCCTCCTTTGTTCTTCCTTGAGAAAAACGTAGTAGTGACCTTCACTTAGTAGTTTATCTTGGAATGCCAAAAACAAGATGTAAGCTTCTGCAATCACTTAAGACAAAAAATTGTACTGATGTAACAAACACCAGATGGCATTTTTTATGAACTATGTTTTCTGCTTGTACTAGTATAAAGGTAGCTGCTTTACTCAATAAAATCGCTGACTTGCCTAAAAAGCATTTCAGTCCTCTCGACCCCATTCTTTACTTTCAGCTTTTTTTTCTCAGGCTTCCGTGCTGCTGCGGTCTAGACCTGTTCACATTGCCGACTGGTCCCGGCAAATAAGGAGCCAGGACCTTCCACTGTTCACCCAGTTTGTTGGCAAAGACCTCTATTTGGTCCCCTGTTACAGGTTTGTCTCGCCAAACATCAGGACTTTCATTTTCCTTCAGTAAAGCATCATTATCTTCCTCATCTTCATCCTCACCTGTTTTTATTTCTTCAGAAGGAGGTGGTAATTCCTTGGCTAGCTTTATTACCATGTTTTCAAGATACTCTGGCAAACTTTTAAACTGCTGGTTGGTTGGCTGGAAGAAGTGAGGGCTTCTGCATGCTAACAGTCTTAGGGCTCTCCAACCATAATTTGAGTTGTTCACAGCCTTGTATTCACTTTCAACCATGTTTTCAGGGTCGGCCTGTTCAATGGCTTCTTCGAAGAATTCCTCCAAAGTTGGCATGTATTCCCTTGTCTCTGATTTACAGGCTTCCATGTTGTCAGGACAGAGATTCCAAAGCCTTGTTAACTCATCATTTCCCATCAGAATTTTCTTGCTGGGCCCTTTCCCCAGAAAGTCTTCCAGCGCTGCTCTTTTCCACACTGCTCTTGTGGGCTTGGCGTCTGATGTTCTTTCTTTCACAAAACTTGGGCAGCCTTCATTTTTTCATGAGTTCCAGTTTTCTTCAGTGTTTAATATATGCTCTACCATCTTTGAAAATCTTTCTCCATCAGGGGGGTTTTCAGATAGTAGTTGATAAACTGATTTTGTAGTATCTTCAATCCAGAGTGATTGCTCATCAGTTAAAACATAGTTTGAACTTTTGAATTTGACCTGCCCCTTGAGATACTGAAATAAAATGAGATACTGCAACAAGATGTGTCGACGGAAGTTACTGTCACTCAGCTGTAAATCCATCAACTTTTCACTTGTTAAAAATTTTGCAAAATATACATGCTCTCCTCCTGTTTTAAATTCTTCCATCTTTTCCTTGATGGCCTCAACTTTTGATCTCTGGGCAATGACCCTATACTCCGATCGCTGGGCAGTGACCCCACCTTCTCAGGACAGAGCAGTGACCCCAACTCTAATCAATGGGTGGTGGCACCACACTTGGGACCTGGGGAATGACACCAAACTGTTCTCTCTGGACAGTGGCCTCAGCTTCTGATCTCTGGGCAGTGACCTCACCCTCTGTTCTCTTTGGAGTGACTACACTCTCAGGCCTGGACTGTGACCTCACCCTGTGATCTCTGGGCAATTACCCCACCCTCTGATCTGTGTAGAGTGACCCTGCCATCTCAGGCCTGTACAGTGACCACAACCTCTGATCTCTGGGCAGTGACCCCACACTCTGATCTTTGGACAGTGATTGCATCCTTTCAGACCTGGACCAACCCCACCATCTGATCTTTCAGGAGTGACCCCAAAATCAAAGGCTTGGACCGTGAACCCACTTTCTGATCTCTGTGCAGTGACCCCACCCTCTCAGGCCTGCCCAGTGACCTCACGTTCTCTGTCTAGTTAGTGATCCCTCCCGGGTGGCCTGGAGAGTGACCACACCCTCTATCTTTGGGAAGTGACCTCACCCTCTCATATCAAGGCACTGATTTTACCCTGTGGCCTCTGGGCAGTGACCCCACCCTCTGGATCTCTGGATACTGACATCACCCTCTGATCTCTTGATAGTGACATCACCCTCTGATCACTGAACAGTGACTTCCCCAATGATTTCTGGGCAGAGACTGATCTCTGGGCAGATATCCCGCCTTCTGATCTCTGGATAATGACAACACCATCTGATCTCTGGCCAGTGACCTCACCATCTCTGGCCTGAACAATAACCCACCTACTTGGGCCAGGGCAGTGACCCCGTCTCTGATCTCTGGGCAGAAACCCAATTCTTAGGCCTCTGCAGTGACCACACCCTCTGATTTCTGGGCAGGAATGCCACCCTCTGGTCTCTGAGCAGTGACCCTACCCTCTGATCTCTGGGCAATGACCCCACCCTCTGATCTCTGGTCAGTGACCCCACCCTCTGATCTTTGGACACTGACCTCATACTTTGATCTCTGGCCAGTGACCTTACCCTCTGATCTCTGGCAGGGACCGTACTAGTGAACTCTGGGCAGTAACCCTACTTTCTGATCTGTGGGCAGTGACCCTACCTTCTGATCTCTAGACAGTGACCCCACCCTCTCAGGCCTGGACAGTGTCCTTACCCTCTGATGTATTAGCAGTGATCCCATACTCTCAGGACTAGACAGTGACCCCACCCTCTGATCTTTGGGCAGACACCTCACCCTCTGATCTGTGGACAGTGACCCCACACTCTGATCTCTGAACAGTGACTCCACCCTCTGATCTCAGGGCACAGAACCCACCCTCTGATCTATGGACAGTGACCCCACCCTCTTAGACCCAGACAGAGACCCCACCCTCTCAGGCTAGGGCAGTGACCCCATCTCTGATCTCCGGGCAGTAACCCCATCCTCTCAGGCCTCTGCAGTGACCACGCCCTCTGATTTCTGGGCAGGAATCCCACCCTCTGGTCTCTGAGCAGTGACCCTACCCTCTGATCTCTGGGCAACGACCCTACCCTGTTATCTCTGGGCAGTGACTCTACCCTCTGATCTCTGGGAAGATCTCACCTCTGATCTCTGGGCAGTGAACCCATGCTCTGATCTCTGGGTACTGACATCACCCTCTGATCTCTGGGCAGTGACCTCACCCTCTGACCTCTTGATAGTGACATCCCGCTCTGATCTCTTGATACTGACCCAACCGTCTGATCTCTGGATAGTGACCCCAGCCTCTGATCTCTGGGCATTTACCCCACCATCTCAGGGCTGTGCAGTGACCTCACCCTCTGGCTTTGGTTAGCGAACCCCCACCGCATGCCTGGAGAGGAGCACACCCTCTGGTCTTTGGGAAGTGACCTCACCCTCTGATAGCGAGGCACTTGCCTTACCCTCTGATCTCTGGTCAGTGATCCCACACGCTGATCTCTAGACAGTGACCCCACCCTCTCAGGCCTGGATAGTGTCCTCAATCTCTGATGTGTTAGCAGTGATCCCGTACTCTCAGGACTAGACAGTGGCGCCACCCTTTGATCTCTGGGCAGACAGCTCATCCTCTGATCTCTGTGCAGTGACCTCACCATCTGGTCTATATCTGACGTCTGGGCAGTAACCGCACCCTCTGATCTCTGGGCACTGACCCCACCCTCTCATCTCTGAACAGTGACCTCATACTCAGCACTCTTAGGAGTGACCCCACCCTCTGGTCTCTGGCCAGTGACCTCACCCTCTCACTAATGGGCAGTGGCCGTACCCTCCAATGTTTTAACAGTGATCCCACAGTCTCGGGACAGGACAGTGACCCAAGCCTCTGATCCCTGGATAGTGACATCACCCTCTGATCTTTGTGCAGTGACCTCACCCTATGGTTTCTGGACAGTGACCCCAGCCTCTGAGCTCTGGGCAGTGACCCCGCTTTCTCAGGCCTGGACAGTGACCCCACCATCCCAGGCCTGGATATTGACCCCAGCAGTGACCTCACTCTCCGTCTCTGGTTAGTGACCACTCCCCTCTGGCTTGGAGAGTGACCACAGCCTCTGATCTTTGGGAAGTGACCTCACCCTCTCAAATCAAGGCCCTGACCTTACCCTGTGATCTCTTGGCAGCGACCCCACCCCCTGATCTCTGGGCAATGACCTCAGCCTCTGATCTCTGAGCAGTGACCCCACCCTCTGTTCTCTGAATAGTGACATCACCCTCTGTGCTTTGAATAGTGACATCACCCTCTGATCACTGAACAGTGACTTCACCTGATGATTTCTGGGCAGAGACTGATCTCTGGGCAGGTATCCCGCCCTCTGATCTCTGGATAATGACAACACCATCTGATCTCTGGCCGGTGACCTCACCATCTCAAGCCTGAACAATAACCCACCTACTCGGGCCAGGGCGGTGATCCCATCTCTGGTCCCTGGTCAGCACCCCCACCCCGTGGGACCTTTGCAGTGATCCCACCCTCTGATCTCTGGACAGCGACTGCATTCTCTTAGGCCTGGACTATACCCCCGTACTCTGATCTTTCCAAAGTGTGTCAGAACTCTCAGGCTTGATTCGTGACCGCTCCCTCTGATATCTTGGCAGGTATCTCACCAACTGATCTCAAGATCGTGACATCATCCTGTGATCTGGGCTCTGACCTCACCCTCTCATGCCTGGAGAGTGACCACACCCTCTGATCTTTGGGAAGTGACCTCACCCTCTCAAGCCTGGGCAGTGACCACACCCTTTGATCTCTGTGCAGTAACCCCACCCTCTGATCTGGGAGGTGACCCCATTCTTTGATCTTTTGCCAGTGGACCCACCTTCTGATAACTGAGCCTTGACATTACCCAGTGATCTCTGGGCAGAGATCACAGCCTCTCAGGCCTGGGAAGTGTCCCTGTTGTGAATCCCTGTTGCCTTCCCCAGTCTCATGGACTCTGGTGGTCGCCCCGTTCCCTAGCCCTGACTAGCAGCCCCATACCCTCCTTCACTCACTTCGAGCCCACCTGCTCATGCCTGGGCAGTGCCACTGCCCACCTAAACCACATGTTTGGCTCAGGTGTCTGCATCCATGGCTCTTCAAGTTATTCTTCCTTCATGTGTTCCTCTTTATTCGTCGAGGCCAGATTGAGTTGTAAAATTCTCAAAAACTCTGTCAGCCTCCCTGCAATTCACAGAAGTCCATGCCATCAGAAAAGAGGCTTATCCACAGATCTCAACTGCATAACTGCATCTCTAGTCCTAGGTTCTGCTGGGGTGGTTGGTTGGATCCTAAAGTCATACTCATAACCTCTTATTAAAGATTGTCCAGCCACACCTTTGTTGTTCTCTCCAGAGCAACCTTTCTCATTTTTTGCAATGTGGTTAGGCTGAGAGTATTTCAAATCTTCAAGTTCTGATTCCTTTCTGCTTAAGAGTTTGTTTCTTAATTTATCTCTCTCTTCTGTCTTCTTATAAGCATTAAGGAGAAACTACAATACAACCTTCTACACCTTGTGAGGAAATTTTCTTAGCTAACTAAATTTCATCACTTACAAGTTCTACTTACCAACAGCATAAGATAATTCAGCCAAGTACTTTGCTATGTTTTAATAAGGATCACCTTTCTTGTAGTGTCCAACAACTTGTTTCTCATTTCCACCTGTTAGTCACTTTAGTCGGAGAAGGCAATGGCACCCCACTCCAGTACTCTTGCCTGGAAAATCCCATGGACAGAGGAGCCTGGTGCGCTGCAGTCCATGGGGTCACGAAGAGTCAGACACGACTGAATGACTTCACTTTCACTTTTCACTCTGATGCATTGGAAAAGGAAATGGCAACTCCCTCTAGTGTTCTTGCCTGGAGAATCCCAGGGACGGCAGAGCCTGGTGAGCTGCTGTCTATGGGGTCGCACAGAGTTGG